AGGAACGGCATGGAGAAGAGAAAAGAAGATGTGAGAACAGAACAGACCAGAACAGAGCATAACATTTCAGGACATAGGTGACATTGAATCATATGAGTTTCATTGCATTGCATTACGCTGCAGTACATATGCAGTAGATTGCATTACACTCCATCTCGACCAGTACCTACAAACAAAAGATACATACTTATGTGCATGCATTCCATACACTACATCATGACATACAGACACAATCATACCTGCACGGACGTATGTACATACTTACTTGCATACTTGCTTGCATACATACCTACATACATACATCCATCCATGCATACATACAACCACACTTACATAGTTACATACATGCACACACAGACATACAGACATACATGTATGCATTCCTTGCTTGACATTACAGTACACTACACTACATTACACTGCCTTACATGCATTGCGTGCATCACATACATTACATACATTACTTGCATTAAATGTATTACATGCATTGCATGCACTGCATACATTGCATAGGTTACATCTTTGACATACGTGACATAAACATGCATGCATGCATACATGCCGGCAGATTCAGACAGACAGACAGACAGACAGACAGACAGACGGACGGACAGACAGACAGACAGACAGACAGACAGACAGACAAACAGAGACAGACAGAGACTTACTCTTCTTTACATGCATGAATCCGTCGATGCGTGCATCCATCCATCCATCCATCCATCCATCCATCCTTCCTTCCTTCCTTCCTTCCTGATCATAAATCCGTTGCCGGCCCTGCATGCTTTTATTTACTCCTCACACTCCAAAATCTGGAAGCCCAAGCTTGCGGGAAATTGGAAAGCAGAAGGACACGCTCTTATGCCAGGAGGGAGGGAAACCTGGAGCCGGAGTCCCGGGGAGCCCCGAAGCCTTTGAAGAGGCCTTGTCCGAGCCTTTTCACATCGTGGAGCTGCAGGAGGCCAGGAAGCCGTGGGTTCGCCGTGTTCTTGGGTTTTCGAGCGGCAGGTAGCAGTTTGCAGGCCTTTTTGTTATGGGCGGGGTTGTGATGGTCGTAGTGGTCACAGGCAGGTCCCAGGGTTCGGCAGCTTTCGCGAGGTGCCGACGCCTAAATCAAGACTTCGTTGACTGCCCGAGACCCTCAGCAGAGCACGACGGCCGAGCGAGTTTCTTGAGAACACGATCCGCAGGAAAACCGCCCATGGCAAGTCCTCCGGCTCCTGGTGCCCCTGTCCCAGGAGGCCGCTTGGGGATCTCTGGCTTGGGGATCTTTAGTGGGGACCGACATGAAGGTCATATTATGTTGCCTTCCTTCTCAATCAGTGCCGCAAGTCCTCCTCGGTTGAATTCCCAAGATCTAGGCTGTCAAAAAACAAGGCTACGTCCGCACCTAAAGGCTGCAACCTTTGAAAGACTTGTAGCGAATCGCAGTCAAGGCTGGCAGACAGGCAGATGGGTGTCTACAGAATCACCCGACGGCTTTCTTAATATAGCGAGTTCAGGGTGTAGGGCTCTTCAGCGATCAGGTGGCTTTGTGGTGGAACAACACAGAGGATTTCGTCATCAAAGCCACTCAGTGCGAGAAGTCGATGAGCAGTGGAGGTGGCTTCACGGCACATTTTGTTTCGGAGATGGAAATGCCGGATGTTGAGAACTAAAGTGATCTTGCTGGTCGAAACACTCGGAAATCTATGGTCAACGTCAGCAAAGCCGATGTGGCAAGGTCTCAATGACACTCGAGTGGAGTGCTTGCACCTGGAGGTGGCAGTGGTCACAACAGTTCTGCGTGAATACATGCTACCGCTCGATTACCAGCTGTGCACCGTTTTGCTGTGCTTCCACACAGGTGAGGAATAACCGGTCCTTCAGCTACCACGGCCGAAATGTGCAAGTATGTGACTGAGCAGTTCCTTTGACTGTCCTACTTGTAAACATGACCAGCTGCATCTGGTGGCAAACAAGGCCATCGAAACTGAACTCGTGCTACCAAAGAGCACCATCGTGAAGGAGCGAGCCGACAGAACATGGTTGCATCGACTTCCGGTTGCTAACCTCTGTTTGGGCTTGATTTCAGCTGCACAGGATTGCAGGTTTGCATGGGTGGCGGTCCGTGAAGATCTTCCCGACATCGGCGGGACATTATTGCGGGCCCTTCACCTCTCCTGCCCCGCTCACACCTCAGGATGGCTGCTTGCGATTGTGAGAATGCTCGCTCTGATAAAGTGAGGTCTCTCCGAACAGCTTGGAGGGAGGCTTGGAAGTTGTGGAGCATCGAAAATTTTGAGATCAGCTTGACTGCTTGGTCATGTGCTACATCAACGCAGGTGGTCTGCCGGGGATGGTGGCCTTGTTCTTTTTCGGGTGGCTGTTGCTGCCGCACGGTGCTTAGGGGGCACTCGGCTGTGAACCTGGACTTGATCACTTCGTACGTGCCGCCAGATGACTCTTCGCGCGTGGCGCTCTGCGTCTCTGTTTGAACTGGCAAGGTGGCCGCTGCTGCTCCTGCCGACCACCATCATGTACACAGCGGTCCCCTCCTCAGTTGCTTTGGAGGCCTCAAATGCATCAGGGTCATTCTGCAAACACTTTTTAGTTGTTTGGGCGTCGGGCTGTATGGGGTCCTGATTTTGAGGTTTTGACACAGCCTGAAATAGAACCTTTCACGCAAACCTCCCAGACCCTCAACATCACAAAGAACCCCAAAGCCCTAAACTCGCACAGCAAACCTGGAGTCCTTACGGCGACCAACCCCAGATCTAGAACACTAAACCCCAAAAGCCCTAAGAACACCGAACACCAGAACAAACGCCAACGTCTATGGAACCCTGAAGCAGCGAAGTCCTAACACTTCTGCGAGGCTCAGCCCATCTTTTTGGCCATAGCCCTTGGGATGGCGAGCCTGTCACGGTGCCTCAGACGCCGGAGGAGACTTTGGCGGCTCAGCAGCGTGGGCCGCAGGAGCCACCAAGTTGCCGACGCACCTCGAAACGTTCGTGCTTCAGCCTTGACTCCGGGGTCTCTGTGTCTGGTCTTCAGGTATGAGCAGGGCGCATACAGCTCTCCTGCTTGTGGGATCATGTTGCATCCAAGGCGCATCTCAAATCAGCAGGTCTTGTCGTCATGATTTTGGCCACTTTCAGTGACCTCCAGCTTCTGACATCCTGTCGGTTTACGCATAAACGCTCCGGCGCGCATCTCGGCCAGAGTCGAGGCATCTGGTCAGAGGGCATCCTGCTGCACCGGTCTCCTGTCCTCCAACCCTTGTTTGGTCTTCGGGCAGTGGGTGCCGGGATTGCGCAGGATGGTGCCGGTCGAGGCCGCCTATGGCGAGGGCGAGCCCTGCTGCATTTGCTTCGGTGCCGTAGATGAGGCTGGCCTCCCGCCCTTCTTGAAAGCTGCCACTACTTCCTGAAGCGTCAAGAAAGGAATCGACTTCGGAACAATCCGGAGTCTTGGAAGATCTATATAAAATTTGAGAGGGCTGCTGAAGAGCTGATTTGCATGTGCAGTGGCGATTTTATGCAGATGCGCCGGTTTCTCAATGCAGCTCACAGTGTCAGAAGTCTGCCTGATGCTGCAACCTAGAGCTCAATGCAGCAGCGCTGAACGCAGGCCAGCATTTGCCTGCTTCCATGCCGGCACACTTTGCATAAGAGCTGCTACCGAAGCTTCTTGGATTCATAGAGAGCACGTGTTGTGCATCGTGTGCAAAAAAACAAACTTGCGCCTGCATCTGTGCATCTTCTTCAGCCTACGCTTCAAGACTCATCAACCGGGCAGCTTACCGACAGATTCAGCTCACGACATCTGCCCATGCCATGTGCAAACTGCAGGTGCCATAACATCATGTACCATTTGTAACACAGCTCCGCAAGAGCAACCGAGGTTGGGTCGGTGCGGATTCGTCTTCCTGGCTCGGTCGTTGGGGTTGGGGCTGGAACGGGGCTGCGTTTGGGCTTCAGGGTTGAGGCTATTGGAAGTTTGGGTTTGACGTTTTTGGACTTGTGGAGTTTGGAGTTTAGCCTCCGAGTTCTGATGCTTTAAGGAAGTGTGCAGCTGCCAGGTACCCGTCGAGAGACTTGATTTGTCCCATTTGTCGCCGAAAGGTGACAGGTGTAGGAAAGTTAGTTTAATCATTAATGCTCTGACTTTTTGAACAGGCTTGAAGAGCACGCACGCATCGTGTTCTTTCTGGGAGCTTCGAGTCTCGGACGACGTGCCGTCAGCAACCTCCCAGTAACTATCCACCCATTGATCATTGAAGAGTGTTCGTGTTCAATCTCTCTCCAATCGCAGCTCCTGTGAGACGAGCCGCTTGCACTTTGGGGGGTTGCCATGAGGGTTTACGCACCGACTGAACATGGTCAGCCGAAGAGCACATCGAAACACCCTCATGTAGAACACTACCCAGATGAGAAGACCACGAAGTCTTGAGTGACTTCACTGATTTTCCCAGCAGCGGCCAAGGGTTCAAAAGAGGCCACCGTTGAAGGCTGATGTCGTGAGCCTAGATCCTCGAGAGCCAAGCTCAACATTGCTTTGACGAAGTATAGACTGTAGACTTTAGAGTGACAGAACCGGACTTGCACGAGTGACCAGAAGCTAGGGCACCAGGTCCGAGACCGATCACAGATATGTTTCCAATGCTTTACAGTGGAAACTCGCACATCCCGCCTCCCGCCTCCACTGAGAACTTTTTTCCCGCTCATCTCGTGGGCTGGGCGGTGGGGTCTGTTTGGTTTGCTGCGCCTGCGATTATCGGAGCGTCCTTGCCGCAAAGCCGCAGCTACAGCTCAGATCGGCAGTTGAAACACTCATGGCAGGATCGAGAAACAGGAGCAATTGCTGGTTTCAGCTGTACGAACTCCCGTTGGAAGGAGGTCGGTGGTCTTGGCCGTTTTGAAAGATGGCTTGGGCTTCATAGCATCCCATTCTTGAGCTCAGGTGCCCACTACTGCCCAGCCCAATTCACCAGCGTCACACCTACCTTCTTATTGCTCATGGCCGCTCTGCGTGTCTCTGTGAAGCTCGGAAAGGCCCGATGTGAACCGCCCTTAATCCGGGATCCTGATCTGTGCCAACGACACCAGTGTGGTTGACCAAAGTTCCTCAAGATTTCGGCGTGGTTTTGGGGCCTTACAGCAGTGTGCTAACCTCCTGTTGGGGACATTGGGGTGTGCATTAGGAGGTAGCACCTCGAAGTGTTGAAGAGTTCAAAGAGTTGGTGACTTCAAAGTTCAGATCTTTAGGAGGCTGGGCGGCAGTTCGGCTCATGTTTTCAAGCTTCCGGGACATGACTTCCAAGTCAACACACCGAGCCAGACAGCCTGGACCCACATTTCCAGGCCAAAGCTTTGACAAAACAGAGTTTCAGCGACAGGAAACCACAGACCTGGACTTCGACAATGCAGAAGCTCCTTGCGCCGCCGAAGAGTTTCTTTATTTGAGGTGTAGACCTTCAAGATTCGATGCTGTCCGGGTTTTACGATCCTAGGAGTTGGGTGTCAACCGGAGGGTGGAAGCGGCAGACTTCATGTATTCGCTCGGAGCGCACCGTCGCAATGAGATTCCTAAACTAGCAAGATGCTGCGGAAGCGACAGGCGACTCTGGGGGACCTGCGCTCGAAGATCGAGCAGGACATGTCCCTCGCGAAGGCATCAGAGCTGCTTCAAAGCTGAAGGTTCAGGCTGAAGCGGTAAATGAGAGCTCCGGTTGTTGCAGGCTGCCCTAGCGCTTGCCCTGCTGCTTGTTGCGGCAGCGATCATCGGAAACTCTAGGAGCTGGAATCGTTTCTCGAAGGATCTCTTCATGCATGCACGAAACAGCCCCTAACAACAAGCCTGAATTGATGCTGCTTGACATGATCAGTATCACAGTCGTACAGGAGCGGTGGCAACGGTCGTTCTCATCGGTGGTGGTTGTGGTCGTCTTTATCGTGCCTTTCTAGTCAGCATCAGGACTCAGTGCAAGTAACGGAATCAGGTACCGTTACATGTATCGGTATCAGTGCATACGGCCACCAACACCATGATGATGATGATGATGATGATGAGCACTACGATAATTTTTCTCGTCGTCATCGTCATCGTCATCATCATCATTATCATCATCATCATCATCATCATCATCCTCGTCGTCGTCGTCCTCCTCCTCCTCCTCCTCCTCCCGCTCATCATCATCGTCGTCATCATCATCATCATCCTAATTAGCATCATGAAACCCTAAACCCATCTCAGCGACACCACCATCAGCACCATCTTTTCTATGGCACTCGCCAACACGGTCAGCATCATCATCACATCAGCATTATTCTTACTAGGAAGAGATACCTGGCGCCGTGCGACATGCTGGGGTTCAGGGCTTGGATTCCTACTCCGAGCCGGATCAACGGGTAGATGCCGGGCCTTGCAGCGCTCGCCTTGGAGGCCGCAACACGTTCAGCTCAAAAAATTCCAACCCTCGGATTCTCACCTAACCTGGTGTCCCGATGGTTTCTGCCGCGCATCGCTTGGCCTCCTGGCTAGCATCAGAACATCCCTTTGTTGCTGTGATCTCGCATTGGCCTCGACTCCTGCTGCCGCACGTAGACCCATGAAGTGTGCAGATTCCGCATCATCTGGGATAGTTTACGACACGACATCCTTCTGGAGAGGTGCAAGTTCTAACCTCTTTAGCGTGTCCAAGGTCGCAGAAGCTCAATGAATCTGCGAAGGATTCAACCTTTGAAGTCGCCAAGCTAAGGTTTGGCTCATCGCCCTTGCGCCCACTGCTGCAGCAGCCCCCTGTTCGAATGGAACCTGCATGGGCGGATTGGGCCTGCTCCAGAAGGCAGGAAAGGGTCCATACCGACCGAAGCCGCGAAGTCCTCTCCGCGGGATTCGCGCGGCCTTTGTTTTTCGTTTCGGCTCTGAGGGTGGGCCAAATAACGGCTGTCCAGCTTTGAGAATAGGAGCTTAGGAGTGCAAACGTCCCACAAGTCAACTCAGTAGATTTTAGACTGTCAGGCCTCGGGCACCGAACACCCTAGGCCTTGGACAGGCTGCTTCTCAACAAGTCAAGCATGCAGGTCTGCACGCGGGTGCCGAAACCATGTTTAGGTCAGGTCATCGGGGGGCAGCTGAGGGTTTCGACTCGCAAAGTGGGAGGTCCCAGCACGACAACATGTGCTGCTGACCGTCGCCACCGACTATGATTGGTGGCTTGCCCTCGGCGGTGAGCGAGGATGCAGTACTTCATTTCGGCCCTTCATGCCTGCACTCGCCCCGTAAAGTGCCTGAGTTGGCGGGTGACACTACCGCACAATACCGAATACTGCCAATACTCGTAACATCGCAGTAGGCAGTTCAAGGTCATGGTTTCGTGCGGATTCAAGCCCTGTACCTGTAGCCCTTGAGCCTTTCCAAAACTTGTCTGATCCCGAAATCTTGAGCTCGACGGGCAGGGGATGGACCGGACCTAAAGCCCACAGAATGATTGCGACACCCCAGCCGCACTGAAAGTGCGACAGTAGTGAATTCCGCTTTCTACTCACCCCAAGGGCCATCGAACATCGTGGGATGCTTGTCCGAGTTCAGCCTGCAGGTTTCCCGTGGATGGTGGATTCGCTCGGGCCTGCCGCGGTGCTTCTCCTGGCGACAACGCCGCGCAGCACTACACGGCACCTCGCATACTCAGTGACGGTACAAGTTTTTGTTTTTTGTTAAAATGCTTCCACCAGACGGAATGTCAGCGTGAGCCTGTCTGGGGATCGTTTGGGCCTTCTGCGGGCTGATTCAGCGTGGACCAGCGCATGAGTTAGCAGATTGTTTGGATGAGCCCTATAGCGAACGAAGCCCTCGGTTTGCTTCGTGCACCCTGTTTGAATCAGCCTCTGATGAAGATCTAGCATTGCGGGCAAACTGGGCAGATTGCTTCCACCGGAACATGCAGATGCGACTCCCGACAGGTTATCCATGGAACGAGCTCGCTGGAGGACATCTCCACGGCCTTTTCAGATGCAGCCCCCGACTTGAAACCTTGGCCTTTCATTGCGGAGGACTGCAAGGCCGCCTGTGTGCAGAATGCGACTTGCCGGGGTTGGCGGCCCAGATTATCATTGCATTTTCTCACACTGTAAGATGGCTTTTGCTAAGATGCTTCTCGGCCACTAGCCGAGCCCAGGTGTGGAGTACAGCCTCGGCCGCTGCGAGGTTTGGACCCGGCTCCCTGTTTCAACTCGAAGGGTGCCAGGGTTGGTCGATTTGGATCGCTGGAGGGTGGCAATCAAGGCTCCCATTGGAAGAGTTGGATATCTTGCCACGAGAATGTGGGCGGGGAGTGGAGATCAAGGGTTCGGCAAAGACTCGTCGTGCTTAACAGCATGCCTTGAGTAATCACGATGATACGTACCATTAGTTGCAGTCTTTCTTACTTGTTCATCTCTGCATCCATGGCTATTAAACTTTTAACATGAAGCACTCGTTTCAGCGTGTTGTACCCCTGCGGTCATGCTGTTACAACCAATAGTATCAATCTGTATCAGTCGTTCACAACGGCTGCTGCCATTTATCTATGGCCAGTGGCACCATCAGTGTTGTACCGGCTACTGCTTCCATATTGCTCGTACTAGTTTGGTCGGAGTATTGATTTTCTGGTATGATTCAGGCCGGTATCAGTACTAGGTCGGTAGCAGTTTACCATAGTTGCCATGTTACTTGCCACTACAGTAGCATAATCGTTGGCATCCAGCAGTATCAGCAGAAGCAGCACCAATGTCATCCTCGACATGCTTACAGTTGCCATGGCTTGTTCTGTTTTTTTGACTTTGACGACTGCTTATGACTGCAGTCAATTATTACTCCCGGCGCTATGATTGCCATACATTTGGCACTCGAGACATCTGTTAAAGGAACTGTGTTGTTTTAGTAGTTTTGCATTCTTGTTCTTAGGGTTTTTACGCTTTGACTATGTTTTCCTGTTCTACCTGTTTGCTTGTTCTGCTTGTGCTTCTTTGCGCTTTTGCTTTTCTGCCTTTCCCCTTTTCTGCTTCTCTGCTTCGCTCTTCTGTCCCTCCGCTTTTAAACTGTGAAAACAGCAGACATGACGAGAAGAGAAAAACTCCAAATGGATTCCGCGGCCTTTGTTTAATCATGTTTGCAAAGCACCGAGGCCGGAAGGTATCCAGGCCAGCATCGAGCTCGAAGACTACTCTTGCTGGAGTGTCTTTGCTGGCTTTGAGTATTCGCGTAGGGGCTGGATGTGGTCGTGGAACATTCCGGAGTAGTAAGACCTCCTGTCAAGCGCCCGAGACAGCAGGTCAGTGCGACATCAACTGTTCAGATATCCAGCCGTGGATTTTGCGCTCAGGTTACGGGCCCTCGCACTTCGTTGCTGCGGATGGCGGCATGGGCCGAGCCTGCCGAGGCTGAACCGGTGTAGGTTTGTCGTCCAAGGTGAACATTGCGGACGTACCGGAAGAGCTTGCAGGTTGAAAGTTTATGGTCTTGGGGCATCTCTACGGTGAGCTGCTGCTGCCGAATCGGGCCGCAGCGTAGTTCGACCCCAAACGGCCAGAAATACGTAGAAACATGGACCAACTGGGATATTGTCACAGGTGCAAATGCTGAGGACGACTCGCCAGCATACTTCATGCCACATCAAGGCCGAGATGTGTCAAACGATGGGGACTTTCGGGTTTTGCGGCGGGTTCAAGATTTGATGGGTTTGGGTTGGGGACTTTGGGCTTGCCTTTACCGGCCTGAAAGGTAGCTTCAAACGGCAGGAGATGGAGTTGGTGCTTTTATGTCCCAAATGGGTACCCCCAAGCCAGTAGACTCACGAGGCAAGGCGAAGAGGATAGTGTCCCCAAGCACATGCTAAGGTGTGCAGACGCTGGATGGGTGCAAGGCAAGGCCTCTCGAGCTCGTGCATTCGGAAGGTCTGAATTTATCCCACCTCCAGGGCCGTGTGGCATGTGCGGGCGATGCACCGTGTGCCAGATTTTGACCGTTGCGCAGGACCTCTGCTACGCGGCACAACAATGCCAAGGGATCGAGCACCTTGTTCAAGCAACGATCTGGAGCTTGGGTCTCGGGTTCGGGGGTGACCGGTTCCGTGTAGGTGCACGGCCGGAAGACACAAGTAATGCGTGGAGTTCCTCACCCTACAGACCTGATGAAGGCACCCTGCACCTCTAAAATTGGAGGTACATGGAAGACGGAGGATACTGCAAAGTTTGGACCCGGCCAGCCACTCTGCTGCAGAGCCCGAGGGCCGAAACTCGTAAGGAGAGTGTCTTCTGCTCACTTTGCTCCAGGAAGGCATCGGCACCACTGCTGCCTTCTCCGGATCTCAGTGCCTCCGCCTCGAGGCGCCTGGGAACTTGCTGAGTCTCGTCAACACGGCCTGTAGAGCTGATGCATCGCTGGCCTGCTGATGGGATTTAAGGCTGGCGGATTGCCGCATTGCTGTCTAACCAAAAACATGGAGGGCTTTGGCTCCTCGTGAGCCCTGCGAGCCGGGAGCCATGATCTTGAGACTTCTGACCTGGCCCCTTGCCTCGACTCAGTTCGTGCCGGCCGATCCCGCTGCGGGTGATGCTGCCTGCCGCGGTAGCCATGCATCTGACAACAATCCCGCCCACTATGTCGTGGCCCAGGACATCTGGTTTTCTGGA